GTTTTTCTACGAGGCATCTGAAAACCCCAGTCCCTCTATCACTGTGTCAAAACTAAAGTCGGGGCTAACGCTACGACTCCGGCGCTACGACCACCGTAACATTGTCAGCTGACGGCATTGCAGGGAAATTACGGGTATTTACTGCTGCCGATATCTTACTTTTCTGTGACAAAATGCACACATTTCGAACCCCTGGTTAATTAAAAATAAACGATTATTTTAGAAAATACATCGAAGCACAGTGCCTTGAGGGACTGTGGGCGAAGTAGGCAGCGAGGTGTTGTTTTTAAACATCACAGAAAATTATGCACTCAACGCAGCCATCTTGGTTACCTCAATCAGAATTTCTCCTTGTCACCCAGCATGCATCAATTGCGATATTGTAACGTGCACTGTGTCGCCTTGGGCGACGGTCTTAGGTACAAGGCACTCTATGAATAAGGTATTTTCAGAGGTTAGGGTTCGTTTTTTATAAGCAGTCTTGTCTGCAGATGAATAGCCTTAAATAATCAGCGCGAGTCCATTTAATTAGTCCCCGTTCGGACGAAGTCCGAAAACGGGGACGTATAATTCGGTCTCTGTCCGTGTGTCCGTTCGTCCGTTCGGAGTCATATCTCAGAATCCGTTGGACCGAATTCGTTCATTCTTTGCATATGCCTAGTACTTTATGTGGGACATATGCACATGCAGTGGTTTAGCGATTCGATTCAAAATGGCCGACTGGCAGCCATCTTGTTTTTTGAAAATGTGTATTTTGGACATGCTTTGTCAGTTTTCATTCAAACTTGGTACATAGATTATACATGTTAGGATACATGTCCATGACGATTTATTTCACAATTGGATCAAAGATGGTCGACTGGCAGGCATCTTGTTTTTATTTTTTTATGAGGTATTTTGGACGTGCTCTGTCAGTTTTCATTCAAATTTGGCACATACATGTGCTTTATACATGTTAGGATGCATGTCCATGACAATTTGTTTCAAAATCTGGTCAAGGATGGCCGATTGACAGCCATCTGACTTTTTGGCCTTACTACTATATTTCCACAATTTATGTACCATTTTCATTCGTATTTGGCACATACATCATACATATCAGTGTGTTTCATAATCAGATCAAAGATGGCTGAATAACGGCTGTTTTTATTTTGGCCATATTACTACGACACGAAACACGTGTTTTGATGTAAATAAACAATCTGTTGTATACGCCACTTGGAACTCAAGTTTCAAGGACACGCTCGCGACAACCCCTCTGCTTTAATATGATGAGCACAAAGAGAACTTAACGAGGACTGTGTCATTTTCAATGACTTGTTTAATTTAATTTTCTCTTTTGATACTTCGTGTCGCTGGCAATTGAATAAAACTGCAAATAACCCATGTGCAGCAAATCGAAATAAATTTTCATGGCATACGCTGCATTTGTTTTTCCGGATTTTGCGATGCCGCACTCCTGAAAGAACTGTTTGAAAATTGAACGCGCAACAGTAGTAAAGGCTTGAACCATAGACTTATGCTTGAACACAGTAGAGTAAGTCTCAAGTACGACTTTGTATCAACAAATGTTCTTCTTCTGATACTTATTAGCTGTCAGAGACACATATCAATTGTCCAGCCCAATGAAAAGTCTGATTCACTTCCTCTGCTCAATTTGCGACTCGAGCATAACAGTTTATCAAAACAAAACAATTTATTCAGCACGCTGTTCACCCATATATGAAAGAGTGTTTTTTTATAGGCAAGACACACGGTAAAATGACTACTGTACACCAATAAATCAACACATTTTAGAGACAACTATCTAGCATTCAAAAAGCAATATAAACTGAGTTTAACTCTGTCAATCCTAAAAATAAACAACAGCTTGAATGAGGTGTGAATGAGATCAGTTCAAACCGCAGTTTTTATGCAAATTCGTGCGGTCGTCCTGAACCGCAATGTCTATTGTTTAAACTTCCAAACCGCAAAACTGGGTTTTGTTCGGACGGTTTGGGTTTTCGTAGGTTTGACCCGCATGTTTGAATACGAGATCACCCCTAAAATACTGTATCTGAATTAGTATCTGCCTAGAAGTGCATATCTCTGTTGACACGCACCCAAAACTTGTCTCATGGGTCATACATACATGTATATGCTGTACACATTGATCTCAGCACACTGGTTGGCGGTGGCCGATGCTGCCGACCAGGACAGTTATTATAATTACGCAGCAACCGGGAAGTGTCCTACTGGTCAGGTGTTATGATTTGTAAACACTATACGAAGTTCCCATCTACACAGATGGTATACAATTAAAATGATAATAAACACAATATTGTAAATTACTTTATTTTTGCTGAAGGGTTATCCAGCGAATAAACATTTTTTCCTATATTTTACACTTAAATCATCAAGAATCAGTGAAAATAAATTCCATACAAAACACCTCAAAAGTCTTATCAGCCAAAATTAATTTCATCTAAAATAAAGTATTTTACAGTAGGTCAAAATTAACACCTCATTGTTCACTGGAAAAAACATTCAGATGATCACAGTTCGGCGTTGTTTTTCATCTTTGCAAGTGAACACCTTGGTAATCAGCAGCCACCGACGTGGTAAATGTATAAGCATATATTTTACACGCGGATGCAGCGGGTGACTGATTCAGTCAAAATAGTAAGTCAAATTCACACCATAAGAGTATAAAATAAAATCAAGGTATCACTTCTCTCGTGCTTTCTTGTGATAAAGTGCATATATTCGCTGCTCCAGAAAAGCTTTTGTTATTCATGAAATAATCATGTCTCTGTCGTAGATTGTTATCACAGTTATACCGAAACAAAAGCTTGGTAATCAAGAAACCAGCTACCAGAGCCAAAGAAATCAAAACCAGATGATAATTTTATAAGCAATTTATCAAAGTGGAGAAGGCATGTACTGTAAATTATGCCATAAATATGACAAATGCCCATTCGATCGTATATCGTATAGGATTAGGGTTAACTTGGAACAAGGCTCCATTTACATGACTTCGTCTGAGCAGCATGAAAGATTGTGAAGCAACATCGGACAAAGTTAAACTTGAGTTGTTGATGGATGCCAGTCAAAATTCTGAACAACTCAAAGAATTCACACTCTCAAAGATTTACTGATGATATCGGTATTGGCAATTTGTGCTTTCGTTTTCTGAAGCTTATTGAACAGCTGAATACAAACATTGGTGAAGTTGCGACAACCTCTTTGAGTGCAGAGGATATCATGGGACACATAACATCATAGTTCACAAACAATGAACTCAGCAAATCGTGTGGTATAAGAGTTATTACTGGGAAACACAATAGTGCAAGGTTTCGCCCCATCAGCTATTGGAACTTACTGTTGTGTTGCATCTACACTGACAGTCTGCGAACATTATTCCTTGCATTAAAAAATTTAACAGCATCCTCCGTCAGCTCTTAGATTTCTACAATAACAGTGTTGTGCGTATGAAAAAGAAGAAACTAAAACCCGTTGAACCTACATCAACACGAGTAGCGAACAGTCAGTGCTGTGATTGAGGGAAACTTTAACAGTGTACTGTCAGTTTAGAAAGAGAGGGTGAGAAGCGTGGAGATGCAAAGGCTCTTAGTTTATTTCATCTAATTTCATTGTTTCGCTTCATCGCCACAATGTTATTGCTGATATATCTTACCACACATTTCCGGTCTATGCAAATTGTTTCAGGCACGGAAGTTTGAACATAGTTTGATTCAACCGTTTGTGAAGTCCATGTTTAGATCAATCCAGCATTTGAAAATAAATGATAGCCAGTATTTATAGCAGCTGCCGGAAATTATTGCATAGCTGGAGGTCATCAACATTGTGGCCGTTAAAAAACAGTTTCAGCAACAACCATTGTTCAAATAAAGTTCACCATGTGCTAGATTAGGAATATTACGTCTCTTTAAAGTAAATAAAAATGAAAAATTAGTTGCATCATTTATTTCCACATTATTTTTATAAAAAATGTGCATTTTATTAACAATATTATTTACATACTATCAGAATTTAGTTGGACGCGTATAGTTATCTCATTAAAATAATAAAATGATTGCAAACTTATAATGATTCTGTAAATGTCCAATAGTTATGTACTTGACAAATGACGAATGTTCATATTTTTCAGAAACTAATGTTGGCTCTCATGATGCTCCCATTCGATGTGTTGAGTTTTGTCCAGAAGTCAATGTTATAGTCTCTGGAAGCTGGGATCAGACTGTTAAGCTATGGGATCCCAGAGCTCCATGCAATGCGGGATCATTTTCGCAACCAGACAAGGTAAATAAATATAGTGTAAAGGCTTGATTGGAGTTTGATATCCTTAGTGCCAACACTCTTATTGTTAATTACAAATTTGAGCCGTGGTGTTTTTTTGGGTGTTGAAGTCAATGGCTACAAATTGTATTGCCCAAACACAAATTATTTAAAGTGTTGTCACACCATGTGGTGTTTGATTTAGGTCCAATGCAACGTAAAGCATATTTGTAACACAGAAAACACTACTTTACTGTATTTGATGTAGATGGAATTATATTGCATAGGCACATGATCTATTCTATGCCTTATCAGGTCCAGTCTAAAGTAATTACTAGGGTTCAAATAATAATTTACTTGTGAAAGAATTCTCATTCCTCTTTAAAATTCAAAAACTTTGAACGTGAATATTTTGATACTATAATGTTAAGAACCATAATGTCTGCGTGTTATGTTTTTAATTCGTGTAATCAATTAAAGCAGAGTCAGAGAAAATGCCTGAGTAATTTCCCTTGTTACAGTTATGGGTAATTCTACATTTTATGTCCTTGTGTAAGTGATCCTTGACCAAGCAATGTAAAGTGTTGGCTATGTGTGCTTATGTATTAGAGATGCACTTTGATTACACTTGCATACTGTCCTTTGTTTATTTATTTTTTCAATGAAATAAAATATCATGACTGTGTGTTTATGGTGAAACCTGTGTTACTGCAAAATAAACAAATCAAATCCTGTGACGTCATTGAAAATGCTCATTAATATTAATAGCAAAGGAACCCTTGCATAGGTCGCAAGTCACTTGTTTATTTCGTGGTAACCCGGCTTTTGTCATTTACACACTTCCTTATTAGCATTAGCATTGTTGGTGTGATAATCAATTGTCTTGTTAAAAAAAATGATTTCATCACAAATTTTTATGTTACATATATTATTTATTTTCAACAATTGTCATTAGTTTTGCTTGATACAACATGTATACATATTTTTTCACATGTAATCTCACTTGTAGGTGTACACATTAGCTGTTTGTGGTGACAGACTTATAGTGGGCACATCTGGTCGCAAAGTCCTTGTGTGGGATTTGAGAAACATGGGATATGTTCAACAGAGGAGAGATTCCAGTCTGAAATACCAAACAAGATGTATACGATCATTTCCCAATAAACAAGGCTATGTTCTGAGTAGTATTGAAGGCAGGGTAGCAGTGGAATATCTGGATCCCAGCCCAGAAATACAGAAAAGGAAATATGCATTTAAATGTCATCGTCTCAAGGTAAGCTTAGCATTTTACTGTGAGTCACTGAATTTTCACTTCTATAAATACTACAATTTGATAATTTATATTTTCGAGGACGTAATTCTGTGAAATGTATTGTCGCTGTAAAGGACCCCAGTGAAACATTCAGATACAAGTTTCTAAATCTTCCTGCTGACTTGAATTGATTGAATGTGGTGAGAATTTTGTCTCTTACAGTTCAAAGTAGTAATGTTAACATCTATTGTCTTTTTAATGCAAAACATCCAAGTTGCATTGCATTCACTTGCAATTTAATCTATTTTTGGCAGAGATAAAGCATAGTGAAATAATTTTTCAAGATTTTCAGTGAAAGCTATGTACGTTTTCACATCCTAGTTTGTTTACTTTAGGTTGATGGAGTGGAGCAGATCTACCCAGTGAACGCTATATCATTCCACAGTGTACACAATACCTTTGCCACTGGTGGTTCTGATGGCTTTGTCAATATATGGGACGGTTTTAATAAAAAACGTTTATGTCAATTCCATCGTTATCCTACCAGTATTGCATCGCTCTCATTCAGGTAAGAAAAGTATGGTAATAGCCCTTAGCTCCATCAAAGAGAATTTGAATAGTTCTATAATGCCGCATGAATGACTTATACTTTGATTTGATGGGGGGGGGGGGGGGTTGCAGTTTATGGTGCCTTTTTTTGTTCTCTCTTTGTATATCGGTTTTATTTTTCTTTGCTCAGTTTAAACTACTTAAAATAGGACCTAAAAACTTATTACAATATTTTCTTTCAGCAGTGTCACTTAATTATTGACTAGAACACGCGTTATTCACTTTTCTTTATTTTTATCTGGCACAAAATATATTTGGGGAAATTCAAAGGAACCTTTGTTTGATAGAAATTAACTAGTATTCATTGGAATTTCCTAATAAATTTTTTCATTCATAAGTACCCATCTTATAACTACCCCAGGTACATGTAATTTTTGATTTGATGACACTTTTTTGCTTTTTTCATTGAATATAATATTGAAAAAGTAGTTTGTCTATAAATTTTTACCTTGGTTTGATGAACAGATCATCCACATGTATAAATCATTTTAAAAGTCAAGGATGATCTGTTTTATTGGTTAGAAACCCACCACACCTTAATTAATATTGACACTCCATTTGTTTGTAGCCATGATGGATCAGTGTTGGCCATAGCATCATCATACATGTATGAACTTGGTGAACAAGAACATCCAGAGGATGCTGTATACATCAGAAAAGTTACAGACCAAGAAACAAAACCCAAGTAAAGACTGTTGGTGTTATGAATTTACTGGACTAGAAAAAGAAATACTGCCTGCAATTCATTTGATTTTAGTGATACTTTTAAATCATTGTTGTCGACATACACCACATGAAGATTTAGAGTCGGATGTTAATGAGGACAAAATGGGTGGGGGGTTAGGATGTGTACAACAGTGCAGGTTTTTAAACACCAGAGAGCAGGCTGTACATTTCGCACACAACATAGATGGGCGGGTAAAGAAGTCTTTTGTTGAATATTTTATCTATCCGTACAAGAAGTAGTGCATAATGCATCATGTAAACTGAAATTCAATTAAATGGTAAAACTCAACATGTGTAGAAGCAAGACAATTCAATATTGAGGGGAGAAATCTCAATATTCTAAATTTGAGTGATTCTTTGCCCATATTCATACTTTATATAAAATATGTTCACATTTTACTTGCTTTTTATATTAAATATAATAAACATTCTTTTTTTCTACTTGATTCACTTTGTTTGCTGCCCTCTGGAGGTGGATGGTTAATTGGTGAAATGAGATTTACTTCTGTGATATCCCATTTCCTTCTCTCTAATATGTGATATCCCCCTCCTCTCTCAGACTTTCCCATCCTCTCCAACAATTCTCTTCCATACTTACTTGCAACATCCACTCAAACAATACTACCGGTTATGTGCAAATGAAAATTCACATCAACTAAGATTTGGCAAATGTAACAAATTATGGGACTGGAATCTTTAAGACCACAAACATGAATACAGTTAGATTTGTTTATTTATCACAGGTAATGAAGAAAAAATATACATATCCAAGTTGAGATAATGAAATGTTCTATGCTACAACACTATGAACTAGGATTACCTGCACACAATACAACATTCATGCAAAAAAATAATTCCCACATGCTTTATACACTTTGTGACATTTTTTTTGTATAAAATACTGTACACACTAAAGATGCATTAAAACATCGATTGATGCAGGCCTCCACTGACATACCAAAATTGGAGGGGGGGTGTTAATGCTACATAGCAGTCTATTCTCTAAAATTTTGACGATTAATACTACCTACTACACTGCGATTATAGGCATGCATCTCTAATCTAAACTGTAAGAAACTAAAGTAAATAAGGTAACAATTGCTAGCTAAATCACATACCAAATGTGTTCTATTACAAAGTACAAGTGCTTTTCATGTATATTCAATGCTTAGCTCCATGTAATCTGGGAAGTAAAATCTTCAATAGTCCAAGTCTGTCTGAATTCATGTTACATTACCACCACCAGAAAATACAGAAACTGCCTTGTAAATTAGATATGACAGAGCCTTCAACATTGTTGAGCGTATTCAAAAACTAAATACCATTACAGCTTGAAATAGATAGGCTATAGTGTTTTGAAGTTGCATATTATCCGTCTTGGGACTACTATTTGACATAGGAGCAAATTGCATGGAAATAATTGAAAATTCACTGACGAGTAATTTGGAAGAAGCAATTCATTGTGAATCACATGCATGTCAGAACACTAGTATTTTGCAAATGAAATTCCAACAATCATGAATATTTATTAACATTTAGTATATTTCATGCAATTTGACCAAATATTTTACATATTGGTTCAATGGTCTAAAAAAGCATTATGAATGAAGTGCAACTTTAAGACATGCGCCAAGTTGAGGTAGTTTGTGCAACCATTAAAACTTATCGCTGGATTTTCTTGACTTTTACCATACGGTTTTATTTTATGCACACAAATCCAAAAAAAAATATTAGGTCACTTAACTACTTTTTATTCAAAAATGCATCTCCATGAAAATGATGAGTTTTGAGTCATTTGCCATTGGTTCCTATTCCTATGGTGAAAAGGTTGCACATATTTCGATTTAGGTACATATATTGAAAAAATATGTAGTTATAAGATGGGTCTTTATGGTTGTCCAAAATTACTGGGAAATTGATTATTTTTTTAAGAAATAATGCTTTATTACACAAATTTCTATGGGGAAATAGTTCCAACACATCTCATTTCTGCACGTTTTCAAGACTGGTTTTCTCCACAAAAAAAAAAGAATTTTTAACTGGGTTAAAAAATTCTAAAAAGTTGATGACTGATGTCTAAATCAACAATTTTGCAACACAAATAAACCTAATTTTTTTTTATCTTATTCAATACTTGTGAATGACCCATTGTTAATTTAAAGATTGCTCTAAAAACTGCCTTATACACATAATTCGAAGCTATGGCTATTTATGTTGCATATTATCAATGGATAACTATACTAAAATGCTCTTTATATTTTAAGTCGTCAAAACCATATTTCCTCTATTAGTAACATTTGCATACATGTCAGAGTCATCTCCTGGTCAAAATGAGTAACAAATAATATTTGAATGATCTAGTATACAAGTTATGTAATTGTTATTTACATGCAATTCTATGTGGGATGCAGTTTTATACAATACACAAGACAATTGAGAAGACGTGTGCATATCAGCTAATAGTCAGTGTCTTTAAGCAATAATTTGCACTAATATATTGAAATATATTCACTAACACAAGTACTATCATGTCAATGAACAGACTGTTTAACACTTTAAAGCCATAATTTTGGTAATTTTCATAATTGTTCTTTGACAGGATATATTTGCTGGAAGATGCTTGATCAGTTCATTAATATGTAAATTAGCTAATGAATATTCACCATACACATCAATGTCAAATAGGAAGCTGCAAGTATGAGTGAACATCACCGATCACTTTGAAATGTTGGTGGATGTGGTTACAGTAAATAGTAAAATACAGAGGTACACTGAACCACACTGTTAACTCTTTGAACACAACAATTTCCACCATCAAAATGTTAATGCAACATACTATAAACGATTTTAAATACACTAGCTACATGCCATTTTAGCGAATTTGTCTCAATGCACAAATTGACAGAATCTTAATTTAGCTAAAGTGCTAACAATCTGTGAAAATATACTTTCATTTAAATTAACTACAGATTAGCTAAAATAACATGTAAGCTAAAAAGACACGTTTTACAGTAACACATTGCCAGCTGAAAGCCTCTACGGACACAACAAAAATGAAAAAAAAAAATAGCATCAGCAGCCGCTGTGTTAACTATTTGTTAATTCTGGACAAAATTGAAGGGCGGTAGTCCTCGTGGCGCGTCCTATTCGATATAAGACTCATAGCAACGTATATATCACGCATGTAAAATACATTGTTTATTTACATGAAATTTGAACACACATTGCGCGGCGGCGAATTTCCCATTGGCTACAAATCTTGATCAAAATTTATTTTGTGAAAGGTGACAAAAGTAATTTTAGCATTCAAAGGATTAATGATTTTAGTTTAATATTTTAAAATATTTAAAAAAAAAAGGAATTTGAAAATCAAGACCTCAAAATGAACACAGTGACTACTTCATGACATCAATAGTTCACTGAAGCAAGGAACTTGGTCCCTCTATTGTACACTTGAGTGAAATGCACACAAACTGTCAGGTTACAGCAGAAGACTTTTATTAAGCATAGAACATGATTATGTTGTATATCCTTTACAAACAGTGACCACCTTGAGTAAATCTACCGGTAATTTAATTTACATAAAAGAACCATCCGTCTCATGTGACCAGAGAATGCCCCTCAGTGTGGTCAAATGAGCCAGTGTATACCATCCAAAATGCTGCAAATCATCACTACAATGACCTTTGCTAATCAGGACAAACATATTCATTCTCTATCTTCAAATTGTTCCTTAAACTGAGAAATTATATTAATATTTTTATTATGAAGAACCACGGGTGGTTGTTATACACAGGTTTAACTGCAGACGATACAAAGATGTTACACACTTGTCATGGAAACAGCTAGACCCAGAATTTCAATATTTCTCATGAAAAACTGTAGCAACTGCCATTTCACAGAACAACTTTCAACTCTCACAACAATCAATTTTACTTACAGGATTAAAATTACAATGTGTAACAAAATACATTACTAGTGTAGACAATGGTACAATCCCAAGGATTGCTGGCTACCCCTTTAGACGGCAATAACTAAAAATAAAAACTAACAAAGAGTATGCACGGTTAGGCACTATTGCACATTGAAGTGGCAGTACATCAGACATACCACTTGATTATTCACATCAGCCATAGCTTCATTCACTTGAAAGGTCAGACCTGATGGGGGTCTATTGGCAAAGCAATCAGCTGTGGTTGATTCACAAGTAATTACTTTATTTAAAATATACATGTATCAGACACTATCAGAATTTAGCTACCATCATTGAATATCCACATTGATTCTTTATAATATAACGCAGCATTGATTTGTTTTCCGTGCCTGAAATAGAGAAAGCAACATTATTATTATTTCAGTACAAAATAACATCCCTCCATTCACACTCCCAGATGAAAGAGCTTGACAAATGCATTTTACAGTTTTTTTATACATGTATTACTCTTCATTCTCTAGATATTCAATCTTTCATTGGTTTGTGTAGTCCACCATCTTGATTCTTCAGCAAAGGATTATGGGTAAAGTATGACATCATATCCACTGATGTGAGAAATTGAGAAAATGATTTTATCTATAATCTATAACTTCAAAAGTTGAACTTTAAATTGAATGAAAGTTTAGAAAATGGTAGCATACATGTGCTGGTGCCAAACATGCATATAAAACAGGTGTCATGGCAACGGAACTGAAAATATTAATTTTTGTGTTTTTCTACCAAATGATCAATTTTTCATATATTGTATACAATTTATTGATGCGAGTAGGTTATACACGTGATATATAACATGTTGAAGTGTTATTCTATTTTTAACGACCAAAATAACGATTTTTATTTATTTTACTCTTTTGGCAATATCTTTATTTTTGTGTATTTGCAACAAATTCGCATAGGTATTTCTCACATTATAGATGAAAGCATTTTCTCAATTTTTCACAACAGTGGATATGATGTCACACTTTACCTACAATCCTTTGCTGGAGAATCAAGATGGTGGACTAAATAATATCTAGAGAATGAAAAGTGCTATAAAAAACTGTAAAAGCTCTTTTATCTGGAAGCATTATGTTTTTTGCATTGACCTTCCCTGTTAAAAAGCACACGAGTATACCAAAAATTCTGTTTTTCCATTACAGCGGGCACAAACCAGATTCGTACAGTTAGCAATTTTTCAATTAACATCGCAAAATAGAAAGGGACTTTCTTATTGGCACTATCAAATGATCTAATGTTATGAAAACAATTTGTTACATTTTGTGACAATCTCGCCACTTGATTTTGAACGAATTTTTTTCTACGTACATACTATGGCTGAGTTGTTTGTTTTCATGTTGCAACATTGTTGTGACTATACAGAGGTACATGTAGTTGTAAATTAATTGTAAAAATAACTTCAACCCGAACATTGATAAGGAGTTTCCCAGGGAAGTTGCAAGTTACTCGTATGAATCTCACTTGCGCCAGATGTAAAATGATGACGTTGATGCAACACTTTGGATGTATTTACAAAATGTTGAGCATAGATAATGTTTTTTTAGGTATTGAATAGATACAAAAACATTTAACCACACCATTTTCTACATTTACATAGTACAACATGTAGCCATATACATGTATAATTTAAAGCCAACAAAAGCATCTTAATGATTCTTTTTACTAAACTCTTATTCATTGTCCAAATTGTAGTGAAATGTCTTTGCTTGGGCTTTTGGTTATTTTATATAAATATATGGCACTTACAGTTTTGTAAAATGTCTTGGACTGCATACTGAGATCTGCAGATTTATCAACAAGATCGTCTAATTTTTCACCTCGTTGTAAAACAGCTTCTATTGTATTATGCTGAAATGAATAAAACTTAAACTGTTAACTGCTAGAAATTGACAAGGTTTGACAATCTGAGAGAGTTCAAAATGACTGTAGCAAGTCAATCACACAGACAACACAATGAAGTACAATGTATGTAATTCACAAACAAATCTGAATATACATGTATGATGCAAATTGTTTGAATATAAAGCCAATCAAGTGCCTTAAAATGGTCAAATAGTCAATATATATATATATGTAGTAGAACTTTGAATGGAAATTTTGTCTCAAATGTTTATTTACACCCCTTGGCATAACGATCAGATAATTGCCAATGTGACAGAATTTATTAGATGGTGACTAAAAATGTTTGCCCATTCGCAGCCTGACAAGTGACATTGTAATGTGAATTCACCATCATCAACTGTTAAGGACATGATTTCCCAAAAGACACAGATACAGTTTCACTATTTGGCCACATTGGGCAGTGATAAAATTACTTGATACAACAGTGCACAAAATTTTATATGTTTCTGCCCCTTTAGCTGAGCAAAAAATCAAGAACATGTAGCAATTTTAAAAACAAAACATTTAACACTACTGTGACTAATTGTACCAGGAATAAATAAACTGTCAAATGCTAATTTACGGTAATTACATTATAAACAGTAATATGATCAGCCAAATTTGAAATCTCCAATAAATATTTCCAGTCCACATACTTACATTTCTATAAAGTGAACAATAATTACAAATGGTAAAAGATATCAACTTACCATGATTATTTTTGTTTCGTCCAATTCTGCTTGAACTTTTGTCATAGCATCCGCTTCCTTAGGATTCTGCCATTAAGAGAACAGTATTCAATTAAATGAAATCATTGAAACCCAAAGCACCTTAATCCGGTGCAGCGAACATTCAAATTTTGTATTAACAAGCTTTAAACAAACAAACAATCTGTCTTGCATGTGTTGTTTAAAATGTATGGGACCCATATGATATTTCAGTATAATGAATCTGAACTTTAACTTAGCAGGTTTGGTGAGAATAAATTCAGACAAGCTTAACACAGACATGTTACTAAGAAAACACAGAAATACAATCAATATCAGCACATTGCATTCATACTGTGACCTCACCAGAAACAGTGCTAAAAAATGAAAACAGTACCTGATACTTGGCGACTGTGCCATCCAATCCTTCAAACCTTACGTCTCTGCAAGGAAAATAAAGTTATATTACACTATTATCAATATTATTTAAATGTACACCCCCCAATGTACTCGACGCAAGGTGTGAGGCAAAAAGATAGTAATGATGAACTAACACATTGTATGCAAGTTGCTTTTTTCATATGGTTTAAATAGGCGAGTTTCAAGTTATAAGGTTCCTTCATTACTGAAAGCTACTCAGCATCAATTAAATAGGAGGGGAGGAAGCTCATTTGCTCACAACACTGTTTGGTATAGTTTTTCAGAAGAGTTCTCATTTTCACATAAATTTAAATTGTTATGCATGAAGCATTATAAGTCTTTGCAAAGAACAATATGTAGGAAATAATCCCCACTGTTCGTGTTGTATGCACTTTAAATCTGGCTCCCATTAAAATCTTATCTGTAGTTTAGGATACAGTACTTACTTTTCTGATGCTCCTTGCCATAGGTGTGGTGGGATCTCGGTAGCAAACTGATCTAATACTTTATTCAACAGTGTAAAGGAAACTCTTTGTGGATATTCATGATCACATATAAGAACACCACTCAAGGAATCTGCACGTACATACACATGGCACATATACTCTGTAAACAAATATGCAAATCATTATATTGGATACTAGTACATTTGTATGTTTTATGTACAGACATGTTACCAATTGCATCAACATCACTTTTCAGTTTATAGGATAGCGATGAGTTCACAAATAATATGAGAACTGCATAACTATATTGGGTGTACAAGTGCATGAAGTACTATGTGCTATACATTTTTTTATGAACTGAAGAAGAGTTAAAAAATAGCTAAAGGGAACTTTCATTCCATGTGGTGCTTAAAAGTAATAGTTACCTTCTTGCTTCACTGATGCTCTTCCTACTTGTGTTCTTTCAACAATAATTTGACTTGTAAATTTCATAAATTCTTGTACACTACAGAAAGTTTGGTATATAGTTTAGAGTTTACAAACACATACCCATGATTTATCATTCTGAACTGTTGTGACTATTTGGGGTTAAATAGCATGTACCGGGTAGTCTATTTGTGAATCTAAGAAAAACTTAATGAAGCAGCACTGTATGTGTTGAGTATCACATGTTAATTCATTCACTTTTCTTAGTACTGTAATGCATTCTTGTCTTACTGATTCATAATTTTGTCTTTTGTTCATTTTCTTTTTGTCTTGCTGATAATTTTATTTGTCTCACTGATTCATTCTATTGTTTGATTTGTTCTTTTCTTTAATTGGTTCATGATTTTCTTCTTACTGATTCATTGTTTTGTCTTCAAGGTTGATCAATAGATTTTTTTTACTTTCAGAGAAGTCCTAAATGTATATGTATGCGTACCTAGATACCAAAATAATACAAATTATGTCATCAGTGAGTATGAATAAAATAAGTTTCATTTTGAACAAACTGGTTTTGTTTCAAAACAAATAAAATTACATTTTCATATACGTATGAGCAAAAGCACTAGTTGTTGCATGGAGTCATGTTCAATATAGGTCACTGAGTCACATGTAACACATACGGTACAATGCGTGTAAAATACAAAATTTGGACAGAGCAACATAACTACCGGTATTTACAATATTACAGGTCTTATATAATCATTAAAGCTGAGCTTTTAGGAGAAAAAATCACGAGGGAAAAAAAAAACATGTTTAAAAAAAAAATTGGCCAATCATTTGCATATACATACTGTACTCCAAAAAATTAATTCAGTAATCAGAGGAGTAACTAAATAAAATAACTGATGGCACTTTATTTTTGAAAACTATTTGCCAGCTACAAAAAAACAGAGTAAATCACTGTCCACAGAGAATCATATTATTTGGCCCGTCAGTATTGAATCACACTTTGCATTTTTGTCAGACCATGTATTGTAATGACCAATACAAAACACGTGCATTAAGACAATGATATATGATGTGCAATAATCCTTTGAACGACACATTTTTTCAAAAAAAAAATTTTGGCACAATATTTTCCACATTTTTATGTATTTTTCTATATTTTCAATGTTCATTTTTGACCATATGGACATATTTTCCCATTATACATGTATTAGTTAAACTTTTTGATTTGTATAAGATGACAACAGCTGACTTTGGCATTCAAAATGTAAAGGACCTTTACTGCAGAGGCAATCAAAAGAAAAATTTTACCTTGACTTTTGGAAATATCCAAACGATGATAAATCATATGCTGCTTTCAAAGTAGTGACTTTAACTCCTTTATGAAGAATACTCAGAGCAAATATCTTCATGATGAATAGTCTTTACACAAAAATAACTTTAAAAATTTAATTTAATATACACACAGCCGTTATAACCCTTGTAGTCCTTCGGTTATGTCAACTGAAATAAAATAAAATATAACTTGAGTGACATAATGATCTAAACAGAAGAATCACGTGTTTTAACCAGACAAGAGACATTTGCCTCATGATTTAATTTTTTGTCCCAGGTGTTTTACTCTAATAGTTGAAGACCATGTTGGTGAGATCATTGCTGTTTATAGCAATATTACACATGTACACTTATACAATTTCCTTAAGTGACATGTATTTATTTATTTATAGGAAGTGATGTACCACAATGTATGGCATCATTGGAACAAACATACATACAGGAATGTACAATACTGTTAGATAAATACATGATGCTCATGCTGTATAAGATGCAGCTGATGGATTACATACTGGTAAACATTAATTATTACTGGATATGTAGTTTATACAATATAAACATTGTTACATAGTGTCACATTTTAGAGGAGTCAACTCATACTGTGGATAGAGGTTGATACCAAGGCTTAAAAAGCACACTTGTAATGGTGTAATTTTGTGTGATGTTTGTGCATGTTGTTCACATTTTATCTGTTTGACAGCTACGATAAAACGTTCTATGGTTATGTTAGCTACCCAACACTTTGTTACACCATTAGTGAATGGCTGAAACCCTGAAAGTTAGCTGATTGGGCCATGACCTGGATTGTAAGGCTATATTTGCTATATTCGGTACCCATACTGTAAACCGATTAAATTTTAGAAAAGACAAATTTTTGTAAATTATTAAAAGTCACAATATTTTTAGCAGTGAAAATGGCTAATCATACAACATACAGTAAGTGTCAGCGACCTGCACGTAAATTTGTCTTTGAATACCATACAATCATGAAATTTCAGTGAGTTCCCAAACAAACCCTCCTAATTATTACCTTTCAATGATTTCAGTACTGAATCTGAAACTATTTGTACACAGTACATTTCATTGCACAGAGGTAAACTGTATGATAAGGAATGTTTGTGACACTAAACTTATTTTAACAATGAGCGAAAAAAGCAACCCAACCCAAATATTGCAATATAAATCACACTTTTGCGAACATAGCAACATTCATAGTCCCAATGTAATAGTTTGGAATGATAATAATATTTCAGATTGGATTGCTTTTTCATTCGTTCATTACACCCTCATGTGTATCATTACATATACCACATTTACGAATTGGTGTATTTGGAATGTTTGTATCAAAATAGCACAGCCGATACTTCTGACACAATATAATACATTTATTATAATACATGCTACATGTATTAGCAGCTGGTGCACATCTCTCCGCAGCGAGTCAAGATCACAATGCATTCACCATACACTAACCATCGTTGTTGAATATTCGGTGGATTCGAAAATATACGTGCAAAACCAAAAATAAACACATTTGAAGGTGGTTGGCCACACAACTGGTGGACAGGCGCTATCATTATTATTTACACCATTTCTATTTTCGATCTCGATTGAACAACGATTAATTGTGTTTTGTGTTAGTTATACAAATTCTGATATTTGTCGCTAAACGGAATGTTAGTTCCGCTCACGGCATATAGTTAAGCGTACTCACCTTCAACCATAAAATGTACAAGACCGCATAAAAAACTTTATTTTTCTGGAATATTGACGTGGAAATTCAAACCCGAAAGTATGAGTAAACCCGTGTATAAGGAAATGACGTCACCGAGGCCTCGTTCTTGCAACCAGTGATTGTTCGTTTTTACAATGCTCCAGTAAGACCCATAGAATCTTGAATGTCCGATCCAAAACAAAATATAGTCATGGCTGGAGGGGTGTGTACATGAAAACACATTACCCCTCTTCCACTACAATTTTTTTAAAGTTCCAAATGCTTACGATGAATACAAATATTCGTGTGCTTTTTTATGATCGACCGTAGTTTGGCATTTTGGCATGAAATGTTTTTCACGTTACAGTAATCATGTGGTACAATAACGGAAGAAACGAAACCTAGATTGGGCATGTAGATCATAGGTTTTTCTCGGGGACTTAAAACAACAGTATGACTTTGAACTATATCAGGCAATTGACAAAAACAGTTTGTTTGTTTTTTTTAGTTTATACTGTTAGAGGAAAACTTGATTTGATAACCCTTTAATTGGTTTTTCCGTCTCTTTTTTTTTTTTTTTTTTTTTAATTGGTCTTTAATTTTCTTTTTCTCGCCCCAATGTCACAAAATAAAATTAGTGAGCCCCTGCTGTAGAGGTAATGTAGCTAATAAATACAAAAATAAAAAATGTTAAGCAGATTTTTCAGCAATATGACTGTAGTAACGTATAACTATTTAGAATGTGACCAAATAAACATTTAGTCTAGGCTGAATTTGCATACCAGTCGTGTTCGTAGTTAAAATGTATATATCAGTAATTGTTCATCTGTGATTTGTTGTTTTTTAACTGTGCGATTTTATCCCCGACCGTAAATCATTCTGATTTAAATGAAATGTAGGTAGAAACACTGTTGGCGTTTTATAAATGGCGGAAGGTATTGTATCTACCTCTACAAGACCCAAATTTAAAACATATATTTGCATCGGATCTTAGATTGATCGTGATAAAGAGAAAATATTTTTCCGCGTAATACTTTTAATACGCGGATAAATTCACGCAAATAGTAGCTACATAACCATCATTAACACAAATATATCATGACAAAATTGTAGGTAATATGTCACTATCATTATCATAATGTTATGAATCAATGTTAACCCGACCACCCCTAGCTGACCATGAATTATTATGAGAATTTAGTAGGTGTCATAGATATTTTATAGTGCGTCCAAATAACTTGTATAAATATAAAAATGTTACAGTAACAGTTACGGGACACACGAGTAATCAACACGAGTGTTATGGTTCGATTCACATATGATTCACGTACAATTCATATGAATAGTTGCACAGCTATACAAACGAACGAGAAACCCATGAATATGATTAAAAAAAACATGAAACGTATGTAAGAAATACAGTCTAAAATAATCTTTAAAATAAGGACGTTATGGTGACGATATTTTTTTTTATTTACGTTCATTGTCATTTGATTCTCTTCAGCGCATACGCAGATGTGTCAAGGAACAGTCATGCGTACTATAACTATCCATTATCTTGATGTTCTTAGAAAATATTTTCCGCACAGAAATATTGTCACATTGGCTTCAATTGCTAGATATACATTTGCGTGAATTATTGGTATCAGTGGGAGTATTTACTATAAACGGAACTCCTTTTGAACACTGCTCGATAAATAACTAATATTTTGTTGAAAATTATTCAGTTCCAGAACTACGCAATACTTTGACATTTTGAGTTTAATCATTATATTGATTGGTTAACACAAGTAATTGTTTTTCAAACGTTTAGTATAAAATAAAAGTTATGTTTAAAATTAAAATGGCTACAATAATGTCAATATACGTGACTGTAGTGACCCGTTAAACGTACAGTAGAACACTATGAATCAATCGCTTAAAAATGTGTTACCACTATCTCAAATGAACTACCCGAATACTAGTATTCCACAAGTAAATTTGAGAAAATTCTTTAACCCGTCATAACACAAAAATTCGACAACAACATAATAAAAGAGAAATAACTCAAACACTGGGAAATTTACACCATCCCCGATTGGTTTACATTATCAGTGGTAGGTTTACTCCATCTGTCTGATTCACACAATTAATCTTAATGGTGGGTTTGTACATTCACTGGTAGGTTTTAACCATCACTGGCATGTTACGCCATCACTGGTGAGTTTACACCATCACTGGTGAGTTTACACCATCACTGGTGAGTTTACACCATCACTGGTGAGTTTACAGCATCACTGGTGGGTTTACACCACTGAGTTTACACCATCACTGGTGAGTTTACACCATCACTGGTGGGTTTACACCATCACTGGTGGGTTTACAGCATCACTGGTGGGTTTACACCACTGAGTTTACACCACCACCTGTAGATTTACGCCATCACTGGCATGTTTACACCATCACTGGTGAGTTTACACCATCACTGGTGAGTTTACACCATCACTGGTGGGTTTACACCACTGAGTTTACACCACCACCTGTAGATTTACGCCATCACTGGCATGTTTACGCCATCACTGGTAGATTTACGCCATCACTGGCATGTTTACGCCATCACCTGTAGATTTACGCCATCACTGGTGGGTTTACACCATCGCTGGATAGTGGGATGGATGGATGAATGAGGGGAGGCAAGGGGGTAGCTGGTACAGTTTTACGGGAAATAAAAAGGGCTTTTTACAATTTACAAGGAAAAAAATACGTTTTTACAGTTTACAGTGTTAAAAAATGGAACATTGAATGATCTGAAGAGCTCTCCGACTCAAATTCTCCGCCATTGCTGCGCCGTGTGTAGAGACGCATGCACATACTACCCTCGTAATGCTCTTCATTCGGTTAGAGGGCCTTTTACGCCTTGACATTCAATTTTGTAGTGAATTGTGTCATGTAGTCGTTTTACAGATTTAAAAAATGTAATTTCCCTGGATTATTCTTTACGATTTTTTTATTTGGATGTAAATTCTTGTAGTACCGAGACAAATTACACATTTTTACAGTGTACGAAAAAAATATTTGATTGATTACGCTGTACGTCTAGCCTGTGATTACAGAATTACGAAATTTATTTTTTCAATTTACGTTGTACGAACAAAAAAATATTGCAATTACGTTGAACGAAAATAACCCTTGCCCTCCCCCCAACTCATGAATGGATGGAACGGACAGATACATGCAGATACAGACAAATAGACGTACACTATCATTAGTGGGTTAATAATTACTGATGAGTTAACACCATCACTCAGGAGTTTACACCACTACCTGTAGATTTACGCTATCACTGGTTAGTTCATTACTCCACTACTGGACGATTTACACTATCAATGACTGATTTACATCATTCCTGTTCAGTTTACACCACGGCTGATTTATATCATTACTGGTAGCTTAACACCAACTGATGAGTTTACAGCGTCACATACATATATGCGTGACTGAGATACTATAAAAGGGTTAATTATTCACTGGTGTTTTAATTTTGCTTATTTCGCTGACTGGAAAATGCGCTAAATTAAACCCCAGTGAATATGTAAAATTGAGCATAGAACACCTTATCTAAATGATAAAACCGTAAATTTAAAACCCACTGAATATGCCTGAAGTGGAAAATCAGTGAAATTTAAACCCAGTGAAAATTAGTCATATTACAGTATACTGTTTACTGTTTGTTTCTTTACTTTAAGTAGGTACACATGTACAGCAATTATAGCAGTGTTGTGTATTATTCGACTTCAAATCACTGGTACCTGAAATATATAAAAGTTTGGCTTCACTTTATGAAAATTGCTATACGTGTCATGAAATGTGCCCTCTAGTGGTCAAGGTTCAACTTGGTGAAATGGGCAACGTTGATTCATATTACCATAAATTTAGAACTACCTTCCATGATAATACTAGCAACAAAGAAATAATGATCGTTCTTATAACACATGTACTACGCAATCACTAGAAATGTGCTTAGTTTATATAATGTCTAACATCTATTGTAGAAATTAGTGATACAGATCTCTCCGGAAGATGGGTGCGTTTCAAACAAATATTCAATGAATAATTAATTTGCATACAATGCTTGTAAGTTTCCGTGACTATAAGAAATGTATCACCACACTGTAGACTAGTGATAACTATAACGCAGATCAAAGTACAGCACATGCTTTTATGGTAGTCTGTATTAAATATTGGGACCATGCTTGCAGTTGCAACCCAAAATACAAAACAAATGAAAAACCAACTCTAGTTATATGTAGTTATTTTCACATTCAAGTAAGCAATACAACTAAGTTCACTGAAAGTCAATTGTATAGTAAATGTTTGGATCACTAAAACACCACGCCAAAGCAAACAAGTTATTAATTTTATTTCTCTTAATCTCTGTACATATGTAAGATTTATGCTGAAAACAGACAGGCATAACCTGATTTTTCTTTTAAAACCACTCACTTATGATAATTCTGAAATGCTTAACAGGTGGTTAGCAGCCAGTAGTACTTCTGTTGTGTAAATATTGATGTACACTGCATGGTACAGCATTGAATAGCTGCACTCCCAGAGGATGAGAAGAGAGGCATGTGCTCACCAGATTCAACCTCCTTCCATGAATCCTAATCTGACCTTTCAACACAAGATGTCAGCCATGAGCGAGTAGCACTTGCACTTCAAATTTTAACGAATAACAGCCATCACATCTTGTCGTGTTCACGATGGCTCCCAGGGACATAATTCGTACAAAATTCCAAGTACATGGTTACAGTGAAAAATAAAACACTGATGATTTTGGTTTGTACATTGATACATGAATGGGGATCTCAGAAATTGTGCAGAAGTTTCAGACAGATGTTCCATATACTCGATTGCAGAGACCCCCTTCCCAACATCAACATTCCCACAAAGCTTTCATGGTTTTTAGTCTGAACAGCCTTCACAATTGATGATGCTTAGACATCACAAAACAGGAAATAACAAATCATCAGAAAAACTAAAATCAAAGTGGTTTTATGCTGTAATATTCAGTTTATTGGAATAAAACACATATCAGTGATAGATTATACATTGAATAAATACAATAAATGTCATCTGAGAATATCCACGTCACCAGCAATTTCACAACCTTATAAAAATATATCAACAAATATGTTTGCTGATCACATACCCTATTCAATACAAAATAATAATATAATTAAATTTGTAATTCAAAACCAAATCCGAAATTAAAAAAAAATTTGCTTGTGGAGGTTAAAAAAAGCTGACTGATGCAATCAGTGGTATCAGCAACAAGCAGCTTCTCGGCTGAGATAGCTCCGCTGTTAGCAATGCACATTTCAATTAATTAAAGAACAGAAGATATCATTAGAAAATGAACAATATGCATCGTATCAATGCAATGGGACTTGCTGTTTTCAACAAGAATTCAAAAATATCATTTTTCACCATAAATAATTGTGGTTTTTAACAAGAAGAAAATATCACTTTTTACCAAAAATGACAAAAATATTCACCAAAATTAGATAATTAAAGATACCGGTATCATTACAAAATGAACAAATCTGAGAGAGGTCCACATTTAGTACCTATATATGTAATAATATCAAAGCAATTGGACTTGTCGTTTTTAACAAGAAGTCGAAAATATCACTTTTTACCAAAAATGTTCACCAAAATTAGAGAATTGATGATATCATTACACAATGAACAAATTTGAGAGTGGTCCACATGTAGTACCTATATATGTAATATCAAAGCAATTGGACTTGTGGTTTTTAACAAGAAGTCGAAAATATCTCTTTTTACCAAAAATGACAAAAATATTCACCAAAATTAGAGAATTGAAGACATGATCATGAAATGGACAAATCTGAGAGAGGTTTACCCAAGGTACATATACACCAAGTATCAAAGCATTCAGGCTTGTAGTTTTCAAGAAGAAGTCGAAAAAGTAAAACATTGACACGGACGACAATCACTCATATGATAAGCTCCGCTCGACAAAGTCAACAGCGGAGCTAAAAAATATTCATAGGAGGAACACCAGCAGCAGAGATTCTGGAAGAATTGCAAAAATCTTGATGAAACGATGGGTTAATCAAACGCATCATGTACGTAAAGGTTGTATCCCCCCGACTCAAACAATCCTTTTCACACAAAGTACAATCATATATGATTGCCCACAATAGAGGTCTCAATTTAGAACGACACATCATGTGGAGTTTTGCAATGATTCAGTGAAGATGAAAATCTGCTTCACTCTTTAATTATAACCAACATTTTGGAAAACATTTCCTTGTATTAATTTTGAAAAGAATGAACATAATTTCATTTTGGCTGCAAGCATTAATCAAAATTTCTAAAAAAATAAAATAAAATAAATTTGTTTTCTTTGTGTGGAATGCTAGATGTTAAGCCAGTTGTAGTGAGTATGCTATGAACACCACAACAAGTATAACTGTGATGCCACCTAGTGTTAAAAATCTAATGAGTCTATAAAATTGGAACTTCTGGCTGTGTCAGTATAATTTGGACATCCAACTTGTGCTACATTCACCTTTAAATGTAGATTTTGATTTTTACAATAAACAAATTTGATTAACCCCATAACTGAACTCAATAGAAATTAATACTCCCTCCACCTCTATAAAGATTGCACCACGACCTGCATTGCACCCCAATCAAATACTCTCAATCAACTGAGACATAGTTTACAATATTACTCTACGGTAGTCATGTTTTCCTTTACATTGCACACAAGATCTGCTGCCATCGTGTTAACACCATCAATCCACTGTCTGTTACTTCTATACAAGTCTCCTCATTACAACACACAGACAAGGCCAATATGAATGGTTGAATTTGTCATGACCCCAAGGCAATTCTACTTGTCTCCTTTATTGAATCAGAATTAGAAAGTAAACACTGCATGATAGTTGCCTCTTAAGTATTTGCAAATGGTCAAGATTAGATCACAAAATTAGCACTTCTGTTGATGAAAAAAAAACACAGTAGGAAATGTTGGGAAAAGTAGCATTATACGGCATGATGAGACTTACGGTGCAGAATGTCTGATTAAAATCTGATGTAGACAGAGGCTTTTGTAGCTTTAAATCTATGACCACTATTGTACATCTCAAACTAAATCTTACCAATAACCTATGCAAATCACATTTGGCAGCTACTTGATGAGATTTATCAACCAATTAGAGCATGCCTTACTAAAAAACAACAGCCTGTAAAATGAGTTCTGATTGGCTGATAATCCTGTAAGACTCAAACCTAATTTACAAGTTGGTCAGTTATACTCGTAGTCAGAAACATGTACGCCAGTGGCCACAAACAAGTGATTGTATCTTTAAAGCAACCTGATTAATAATCTACCAACATCAATGGAGCAAAAGAGTCCAATTCAATTTGTTTTCCCATCTTTAAAATACATCTTTAAAAAGCATGTTAATTCAACACTACCGGTATTGTATAATTTTTGTTTGAGATGCAAAAAAAAAAATATTATATTCATACTATATACATTCTAAGCAAATATTGGAATTGAATGACATTGTGAAATAATGTTTATGAAATTTGACAAGTGAATCTACGTGAAAGCAGTTACATTTTAAAATTTACAATTATAAATTCTAAACTTGGAAACAATGTAGGAATTACTGGCCATGTTTACAACCTGATAATGCTGGAAATGAATGGCAGATCATATGAGGTGAATATAATTATTGCCAAACCCTGTCATCATTGAAAATAGTGGTATAAGCTAAAATCATAGAAACAGGTATGGTCCAAAAGTTTTTATAAGTTTTTTTTCTTTTATAGTGAGTGGGTATCACTGGCAAAATTAATCTATTTAACATTATTTTTTTTCTATTTTTTTTTAGATTTTGACACAGTTTTATTTGGCTGTTGTTGCCTGGTGACCCAATCAGCTGATGGAAGAACACATTTTACATTAGCACCTCCATTGCTATACAAGGACATGACACTGCTTCTATTCAGATGACTGCACATGACAGTAATGTTTTGGTCCTTGAACATGGTAGGAATAGGGAAATTATTGCAGCACCCTTAAAGACTGTTATTTTAATGAATGTACCAAAAACTGGTATGAATAAATGTAGTGCATTGCACCAGAAATGTTAGTTTTCATCATCTGTATACATCCTGATAAAAACTTTTGGTTTATTTAGACTTCAAACTGGGATGGCTCGCTCTTATCCTTTTGGTCACTTTTAGTTGAAATTAGCTTCATTAGAGCACCAACAGCTCCAAAATAACCCTACAACAAAAGAAACAAATTGAATACATTGATTGATTTTATTTTGATAAAATGCCTCTCCCTTGATATAAATGATCAGATAACAACTTTATGAGTTACAGTGGCCATAAGAAATTTGCATGCCTCAATGCTGACACAAATTTTACCCACAATTCTTTGCAGCCTTCAACAGGCAAGAACAATAATCACTGATGCAAGGAAAGCACATACAATACAAATATGGAGTCCAATCAAGGTAATAACTCCACTAAAATGTATTATTAATAGTTGTCATCTTTTAGTAGCAATATTCAGTAATACTACTACGTATCGTCATTTTATTCTGTCAGTCCAAGGCTAGATAACCAAAATTCTGATACATGTGGGTGTGGCACGCCTGTCTTACCTCATGTTCCAGGAATAAAGCTTTGAGAGCACCTTTAGACCAATACTCCATTGCATATGATAATAACTTCATTGCTATTGGGTTAACACGCAGAAAGTTACCAACGAACACTATTCTCTCAATACCCTGTACAAAAAAAATTAAATTAACAAGGCTGCCAAAAAAAAAAATGCTCCCGGTGAAAGATGGTACATCCAGTGTTCGAAATTAACGTCGGTCCGTCGGCCTCACGCCGACAGTGGGTGTAAAGGGCCTAGAGCTGTGAAAAAACATCAGTCCTTGTGACCGACCATAAATTTATATTTAAAAAAAAACGTTCCATTATTTAATATGATTGTAAGACCAAATATATAATAAATATCGATAGTAACTCCAGAATTGTTTCAAAATTGCGTTTTCTTGCACGTTTGATCAACAAATGGCATCACTCATCGACCT